AAGAAAATTATTATTATTAATTATTAATAAAATTTCTTTAAGTTTTCTTAATAAAAATTTATTAATTAAAAAGTTTTTATAAAGTGGCTTAAAAATTTAAAGATATAAGGAAATTATTATTATTAATTATTAATAAAAAAAAATTTTCTTATAGAAATTAAAAGAAAAATTATTAATAAAATTTTTTAAAGTTTTTTTTTAGTAGAAATAAATTTTTTAAATAAAATTTTAAAAAAAATCAAAGAAAATACAAAATTAAAATCTAGAGTAAAGCATTTAAAGCACAGAAATTAATAAACCTCATAACGACACCAATTAACTCGTGCCCAAATTTCTGACGTGTTTATTTCTAGCCTCCGCGTCACGCCTAATATACAAATATAAATATATAGATAGATAAACGCGATATGCAGTTGAGTATGTGCAGAGAATAAAAGTGCTATCGAGAGTATGCACTCGAGAATTTAAAATAAAAATGCGTGAGATAGTATAGCGAGAGGTTGGCACCTCTCGCTCTGATATTTTATATACCTATCTGAGTATAATATCAGTACGCACTAAAAATTTAAGCATACCAACTAAAAGGTTGATGCTGAAAACACAAAACAGCTCGGAGTAGAGTTTCCATCGAAGGAACAAAGCTCCCGTGGAGCCATACGAGGAGAGGTTGAGGGCTTGAAAGGTTTTTGTTTACATTTTTTCCAGTAAATTTTCTCGCTACATTGACGCGATAGAGCTGAGGCTGAGGCTGAGGTAGTTTTCCGGACAGTTGATCACAAAGTTCGGGAATATAGTTATAATATAATACTGTATGAGTGAGGTATATACACTCATGTAAATGTATGTGGGTGTATGGAAAATATGAAGAGTGAGTGGATGGAACATATGTATAGTGTCATTCTCTATTATGTGGGGTTGACAAGCGAATTGAATAGAAGTGAAATATGTTATAGATTGTTTGCTCCAAGTGATTTCCATTTTTGTTTTTAAATTTATTATGTATTATATGTTATACATTATATTATATTATTTTATCTATCGATGCGGGTTGGGTTAGTCTATACCAACCGAATTAAATACTAATGCTGGGTAGTATAATTTAATATAATATTGTTTAGTTGGGTAATTGAGTTGCCAGTATGTCGATGTTGATATTTGCTGGTAAGGCTCAGAGAACTCTGCTATGGCTCCGGAGGCTCGATGCTTCGAGTGCCCGGCGAATAATGATATTACAGTAGTACAGAGAGCTTTAATATTATAAAAATTATTTTTCTTTAATACAAATACGTGCTACGGAAATATTGGGCGTGACTTGGTTTGATTATCAGTTTTATTTAGATTATTTTGTTATTTTTCAAAAAGTTTAAGAGATTTTTTTTTTATAAATCTCCAATATTTTAATTTAAGTGGATATTAAAACAATTAATTATCTAAAAGAAATTTTGTCTTATAAATATAAAAATTTATTAAATTTTTCTACAAAGGCTTTAATGTTTTTTATACTGAATTTAATTAAAACTGGCAACCTTGCAGTCACTATGTGACTGCCGTGTTTTGTGAACTATAATAAATAAATAATAATTTTGCTTTATTAAATAATGACTATTGTTGAATTGCCCACATGCGTTTTTGATATATTTTTCATATGTACATATATATTATATATATTTTAAAGATATAAGCTCATCCCGATGTTATACTCATCAAGAGCTGTTATTTGAGTACCCACATGAATTTTGATATATTTTTCATATATAGATATATATAATATATATAAATAAATATATAAAAAATTGATGTGGGTACTCAAATAAAAGGTCTTGATGAATGTAACATCGGGATGAGCTTATATCTTTAAAAATGTCAATAGTTCGGAAGATACGAGGTCATTTCTTAACTATTGACGTTTTTAAAGATATAAGCTCATTCTGATGTTACACTCTTCAAGACCTTTCATTTGAGTATCCACTTGCATTTTTGATATATTTTTCATATATAGATATATATAATATATATAAATATATGAAAAATTGATGTGGGTACTCAAATGAAAGGTCTTGACGAATGTAACATCGGGATGAGCTTATATCTTTAAAAATGTCAATAGTTCACCAGATACAAGGTCATTTCTTAATTATGTATCTAGAGATAAATTTTCGAATGCTATCTTAATACCTATCATCATAAATTGACTATTGGTGAGAACGATATAAAACCTTGAAAAGGCTCAACTCCAGGTCAAGACTTTTCCAAAGATACCAAATTTAACCATAAAAACCCATTTTATCTTATAAATACACTAGCTATAAAATTTTGCTTATTCCCTTAATAATATAAATTGCATTTAAAATAAATTACTGTATAAAAAATATTCATTCACAATTAATAATTAATAGAGCTCATTAAATCTTCAGTTTAAAAATAATTTTCTTCAGAAAAAAAATGTATAAAAAAATTTCTCCAGAGAATTCCACCATAACAAAATAATTGCAAGTAGTACAAAGTATATCAGATCAGACATGTGCAAAACAACGAATATAATGTTAGATATACGTAATAATACCATATGAACATACAACATGAATATCTAAAGTTGTAGCAAGCACAAAAGCTTGAAACCGGTGGCCCTGGCCGGTACCCGGAAGATCTGACGCTTTTCCGGATGCTACGTCACTGGATGGCCCGCAAGCGCTGGTGCCTAGTCTGGTATAGTTCAAGTAAAGCACACACCTACACACACACACAACATGAGTGGGAGAGTGTGTGTTTGGTGGATCGCCGCGAGTCGAGCTTAGCACACAACAGGAGCAAGTAGTGTAGAGACCGGTGTGGAGCGGCCTGCCTCGGAGAGGACGAGAGAGGGCGGCCCCGTGTGCTGCCGATAGCGGATAGCGGGAGAGCTACCATGTAGATGGATACGATCCCTCTACTCTCTACTCTCTGCTCCCCGTTAGTCGGCTCTCGGCCGTCGTCATCGTCTGGTACAGGTTACACCAGATACGTCACGCGATTTAGTTATTGTTTATCAATTTTATCATTTACTCAAATCACTTCGTTGTTATTGTTGACAACCGTGGATCATAAATCTCGAAAAGTTTCAATTTTTCCTTAAATTTATTTAAAAAAAAAAATCCGGACAATTTTGGAGGTACAATTTGGAGCTGGTTGATATAATTATAAATATTGGATGGGTTTTCATATTTTTATTTTTATTATTATTGTATTTTGTGGTCTCGTGAATGGTGACCTCTATTGTGGTGATATCTCGAGCACTCTCGCAAATACCTTCTCTTCCATCCATTCCCTTATATACTTTCCCGGTTTTCCATTTCCTTTTACTCGGATATAATGCTTTGGCTAGGGAACAGAGACGTTGAAAGATCTTACGTTGTACACTGTAGACTGTATTCTATATAATACTGCTCTCCAGAGTGCTGTAACATCCCTCGAGGTGCGGATTGTTTGTAGTTTATTGCGATAGTATTCCCAAAAATTCTCCAGTGGGGAAAGATCCAAGAAGGTGGAAGGTGGTATTGAAAGAGAGAGGGAAAGATACCGGAGAAACTCGGAAATTTATGGTGCTGAAAATAGAAGGCTGATTATTGTTTGGTTTTTTTTTCTTTAAAATAACGTGTTGAAATGTTATTTATAGTTCTGAATTTATGAAATTTATTGCCACGAAATTTCGTTTTTTTCTTGTGAAAGTAAGATTTGTTTGATGTAAAGAAAAACTTAAACATTAAAGAAATGAATTTTAAATAAATAGTATCATAACTTAGTAAATTTATTTTAAATAATTTTTTTTTATAAAAATGCAGATAATAGTAGAGTTAGCAGACATTGTTAATTTTTGGAGTTATTTTTTAATTATTAAATTAGAATTAAATATTATTTTAAAAAATTGCACTTATAGTTTTTAAAGTTTTTTACAAGTGAAAATTTTTTTTTTAATCATTTTTTCAATAAAAAATTTTTAAATGTCGGCTAACTATAATTTTCATAGTTAGCTGACATTTCAAAATGTTTAGAAATTTTTTATTGAAAAAATTTCAATTATACAATTAAAAAAAAAATTGTCACATATTTTCATAGTTAGCTGACATTTCAAAATGTTTAGAAATTTTTTATTGAAAAAATTTCAATTATACAATTAAAAAAAAAATTGTCACATGTAAAAAACTTGCAAAGCTATAAGTGCAATTTTTTATAAATATCTTTTTAGTTGTAATTTAATTAAAAAAAAAAATCAAAAATTTTTAGTCTGCTAACTTCTTATGTTTTACTTGCAATAAAAATAAGATCGAGTTTTTTTAAATTCCTCCGGTTTAACTTCACCCTTTTCTTGATAAAAAAAAAAAAAAAACTGATAGTTTATATTTCAGTGGTTATTTGTGTAAATAAAATCCATTTGAATTTTTAATTTAATTCTCGTGAGAATGTCGATAGATTTAATTAAACTGTATTGTCCCGAGTGTTTGTTTATAATTTTAATCTCACAGAAAGTCGAATATATTTACATAACTTTATAATTTCCATGTCGTATATATTTATTTATGTTATTTTCCGAGTAAATTATAAAAGTGATAGCTCTGGGGATTTAACACAAGTCAAGGTTATCTAGAGCAAGCATCACATTAAATATTAGATGGAGATGAAGTTGTTACAAGTAAAGACCGAGTAGAGTTAAGAGGAAATGGAAAAGTTAGTTTTTAGTCTCTCGTTTTGATTGAGTTGGGATTTAAATTTAAGATATAAAAATACGCCGACTTAAGGTGTACTTTTCATTAACTTTTATTCATTTATTTTTAAGTAGGTGGTTGTTATTGAAAAACTCGGTTAAATAGCCACAATAATTATCACTATTATTATTGTGGTTAAATTTTGAAAAAAAAAATCGAGAATTTGGTAATATTAATAACGATAAAGAAAATAATATTGAAGCGTAGATTAGAAAGAGCAGGGTGAGAAAATCTAAAGAGAAAATATAGTAAAGGCAAGGGATGAAAGGCGTGGGTGAAGCGGAAGAGGGGCTAGAGTGTGAGAGGGTTCGTGATAAACGAATAGGGGCTTGCCAAATGGTTTTAGGTAGCTACGGGTTATAGCCAGGGATACCAGTTCGATCCAGACCAAAAATATATATTATAATAATAAAAATAAAAATAAAAATAATTACAATAGTTGTAATAAATAGAGCTAACGACTGACAATATTACATTTCGGTTGTAACATATTTCTTCTTTCCCTTTTTTTTTCTAAATAAAAAAACACTGAAAAATAAAACAAAAATTTTCAATTGTTAGATTTTTTTCTAAAAGTACTATTCAGTTTAACTTTTACAGAAGTTTTTTTTTTGTAAAAAAATAAATAGTTGTTCTGAAATTTTAATTAGATATTTTTTACAGAAAACTTTTATTAAAGGTAATTAATTTTTATAAATTGAGGGTGACTTTGAAAGTAGTCAGAATAACTTTTTTTTTTATTAATTTAATTAAAGGGAGAATTATCTTGATACAAACTCTGTTTTTTTATCTTTAAAAAAATTCTTTGTTATTTTTTCTCAGTTTTTCTATTGAAGGCATTTACAAGTAAATTTTTTTTTTAATTTAATAAATTGAAAAGTATTAAAAAAAAATATTAAATTTTATTTTTCAGTGTTGTAACAATTTATAAATAGATAAAAAGACTTACTGTCAACAATCATAACTCAGTGATTGAGTTAAAATTAAATTTCTTACTATTGAAACTATGTAATACAATGTAACGTTAAGATAAATATACTTGGCGGAAATAACAGAAAGTTCCGGTACGTCAAACGTTATTAAGACGCAAGTGAATTTGTATTTATTAACTGAGTGGTATTAGACAAATGACGAATCGATAAAAGTGGCTATCAATAGTGGAATAATGTGATTGAAATTAATAAAACGATTTGATGGACATCAATGCTTAATAAAGCATTATCAATAATAATAATAATAATATAATAATAATGTGTTCACATGAAGATAATTATAGATATATTATTATAATATAATATTTATGATGAAAAAGAAAAATTAATAATGAATGAGTGAAGATAAAGCGTGCTGGAGACGCAGACGTCGCCGGTGGCTGTGTTGATAATGTCTGGGATTATCATATCGATGATAAAGATGAAGATACTGATGGTGAAGATGATGCAGGTGGCTCTTGTGCCCCCGATAAGTTGAAACCTAGAGAGAAGTAGTTGATAGAAAAAAAAAAAAAAAAAAATAAATGATTAAATTAATGTAATTAATTATTAATTGAAATTTGGGGAAGAAATTCGTGATAAAAAGCAAAAAGAAGAAGAGGAAGAAGAAGAAGGTCTTGATGGTGGATCCCTTATGTTTTGACGGAGCTTCAGTAGGGTACCGAAGTGGGGGGCACGTGGTCGTGCTGCCTGCCGTGCGCCGGCGGCGGCGGGCGAGGACCTCCTGGAGGACTTGGTTCTGGTGTGGGTTCCGGTTCTGGTTCTGGGAACCCCGGATTCTTGGGCGAACCCGAGAGCAAGTCCTCGATTATTGTTTGCCACAGCAATAAGCGCCAGAAGAACCAGAAAAGCAGCATCACGAGTGTTATTAAGAGCACCTGTAAGCGTAGTGGTAGTAATAATAATTCTGGGGACTTGGACGATCTAGAGGCTCTTGACGCCGCTGTTGAGGCGGTCGCTACTGGAGCTTGCTTTCCTGGTACCAAAGGCTCTAAGGACAAAAGTCACCAGAACTCGGAGGACTCTAATAACAAGGACGGGAACACTCAGCACCGGCTCAGTCCCAGGTTGCATGATATTGAGGAGGAGGATGATGAAGAGTGTCGACATACTAAAGAAAGGTTAGTTTTTTTTTTATTTATTAAAAAAAAATTATGGATATTAGGTCATTATTTACATGGGTCAACCTATGCTAGTCCATGTTAAATTATTAGTTTTTTTTTTATTAAATTGATCAATTTTTTTTAGTTTGTTTTTTTATGTAATTAAAAAAAATATATTAAAGAAAGATAAAATAGAAATTTTATCCAAAAAAATGAAAGCTAAAATTTTTTTCAATTTTTAAAGGCAATTTTTTTTTTTTTTT